CCCTGCCACTTTGTTTTCAAGCTCCTCAAGTGAAGACAAGCTTACTTCTTTCACACCCGACCTATCATTGTGCTGTTTTTCCATGGCCCGTAACTTTTCTTCTAAAGCCTTTTTTTCAGCCTTCAATCTGATGAAGCATGTCCTTTGGAACTCAGGCAATGCGGGATCAATCCAATCAAACAAACCACAATCTTTTACCTGTTCCAAAAAGTTTGGTTACAAACCATATGTGTATCCACCCATTCTGAACAAAATTGCCGTAAAATTGCAGAACAAAATACAATAATAAACTACCTTTCTATTTGGACACCTGTAAAACCTCCGACATGGATTGTCGTCAGTGCCAGAGGTGAAAACATCGGCCTCATCCAAACAGCCGCACAGCCTCCGCACGGGGATATTGGATGAGCTGCGAAATTAGGGCAACAATTTGGGGAAGAACACGGATCGAAGCTGCGAAATCGTGAAAAACACGATCGAAAATTAGGGTTCAATGGATGTTGATACTTGTACGACTAAATTGGGATGAAGCTACTGGATTTTGGGGAAGAACACGATAGAGTGATGAAGCTGTTGGATTTTGGGAAAAAATCTTCAAAATTAGGGTTTGATTTTGAGGAAGAAAATGGGAAATCGGGTTTGATTTGGGGGAAAATGCGTGTATTTATACTGGTTTGTAGTGGTTTACCACGTCAGCAGCACGTTTGGCCACATAGGTAAAGCTAACGGACACGGTGGCAAAAATGAGACGGCCGTTTCATTTTGGGTTAGGGTTGCAAACATTAGACAAGGTTAGGTTTTTCGTGCTAAATTCCAAAAGTTTGGTTAAAACTGCAAAAAGTTGTAAGGTCGTGCTTTTTCCGGCAATTAGGCCTAAATAAATTTGGAAAATTTGTGGGTTGATGGCAAGTCTTAATACACGAAAGTACCTAACATTTGTTCGGTTCTAATTTATGAAAGGACTTCATGCCAGTTACCTAAACCAACAACAATTTTATGTATACCTAAGTAAGTTGAGGTGGTGAAACCCAA